CATATTTTTACTCATTACCATTTGATTATTATTAATTAGATGCATTTATATATGTTAAAGTGTTTTTATTGTATTTGATTCATACGCCTCAGAAGTTAGAGACCAATTAGGGATTTTGAAAAGAAATATGATCGTGATCAATGCTTTGTGATGAGATTGAAAGGCTTGTATTTGTGCAATATCATATTATCCAAGACATAACGGTTGGTCGTAATGTGATTTTAGTAGAGTATTTATATTCCATTTGATTTGTTTATTATTAACTTATGAGTTCAAGGGGTATCTAAAATGTTACAATATGTTATTATTTAAACCTATTGACATATTTATTGTTGTGATAGTTTTGATTTTTACAAAAAAACTACTTTCACTCCAAATCTTAAAATTTAATATGTTGTGATGTTTGTAAATTCATTACATGTTTGTTTTTTTGGTTTAAATGTTACCCCTCTTGAACTCATGTTAAAGGTAAAGTTTTTATGTCAAACTAATTAAATATGAAATTATTAGTATATTTATTGTTATGCTGGTTTTGTTTTTTATAAAAGCATCACTTTTTTTATTTTTAAATTTAAATTCAAACTCATATTGTATGTGATGTGGTGTTAGCTTTAGTCTTTTACATAAAAATCATTATCTTAGGTCAAGGATTTCAATTATAAAATTATCAATTTATTATGGATTTATTTTTAAAATTCATGAAAATCAATTTTTATGTATGAGTTCTGAATTTAAAACTATGATGTTAAATATATATATAAAAAATTAACATAAAAATTAGTCAATACAAAATCACAACTTTGATTTGAAACTTAAAGATTGGGCTTTGCATATGGCTGATTTTTATTTTCATATTTGAATAAATTAATTGATCTTTTAAATGCAATCTTTTCTTTTTAAAATTCTTATCTAAATTTACTTCATTAAGCAATACACATGATTATTGTAGTTGGTATTTGCTTGTTTTGCTTGTTTTTATTTATCTTTAAATCCTTTTGGTTTTGTTGTCTACATGTGTTTCATAATGCCTAGTATGAAGTGTTTTTATTTAACAATAAATGTTTTTAATGGACACACACATAATTATTGTTATTTACCCAAATCGATCTAATATGTTATTATCTTAATATTAAAAAAAATCATCTTAATTTATTCTTAAAATTAAATCATACTATTTACTTGTCATTTAAGTTGTTTTTAGACTTACCAAGTTGATCGGGTTATATCGGGACAACTCTAACATAGTTTGATTTTAAATTCGGGCTAAGTAATGAGTGAAATAACTCCTTGCTATTTGAATATTTTTTTAAATTTAATATTTTTTTGATCTGATTCACAACATAGTGTATGCATGTAAACTAATATATTATATGGAGACTCGTGCGTGTGTGTAATATGGTAAATAAAAATCCCTAATTGATGGTGGCTAATGATGAGAGTTTAAATGCATCTCATGATTTTTAGTTCAATTATATTCGGTTTAAAGTATGAGTGGTGTAACTCATGATGTGAAGTTGATTCTATTTTGATAATTTTTTTTTCAATTGAGTTGAGTTAGAGGTTGCCATATTTATAAGGATGAGAGTTAATATATATATATATATATATATATATATATATATATATATTAGAATTGATTAGTTTTTGTCTTTAAAATAGTCACACACACATAATATTTTAGTTAACTTAACAGAAAAACTTAACTCTCAAAATGGTTTTTTAAAAATGACTTATTGAATATAGCGAAACATTGAAGTTAAACTAGTTTTAAATATTAACTTTTTGATAACTCTTTTATTTCTTTGTATCTCCCCTTAAATGTCTATAATGACAAAGTTATACTTGTTAAATAAAAAGAGATATTGTATAATAGACTTATAATATAAAAATAAATTTTGTGGCATTGACAAAATATGAAAATATAGAGAAAAACAATGTTAATGTTTTATGGTTCATAAATAAAAAATATTGTATAATTAGCTCGTTTAGTTGTTTTAATTTGAAAACACTATAAAATTTGTAAAAGAAAACTATGAAAACACCACCGAAAACATGTTTCCAAACTTAATACAAATTTAAAAATTCTCTATTAAAAAAAATCGCATTTAAAGTTTTGAATAGAAAATCCATACATTTCTTTTTCCAACTTGGACTTTTTTTAAAAAAAAATGAAGTATTATTTAATTTCATTTCGCAGCTCTCAATTATAATTCCCAAATAAAATCTAGGTCCATTTAAAAAAATGAAGTATTATAATTCCCAAATAAAATCTAGGTCCATAAAAGCCTAAAGAATAAGCAATTGCTCAATCTTAAACTAAGAAGTCGAGGCGATTGAGTATTGAGAGACGAAATTGGGTATTTTAATTTCACAAAAAAGTCTCCGATAGATTTCTCTTTGGATAGACTTGCTTTGAGGTGTCATTTTCTTTCATTAATTAGCAAGCATTCGCAATAATGGTGGCGGTGCTACTGCTCTTAACCACGCATGCACGGATGCTCTGCCTTCCTTTTTGGGGCATTGCGGAGTAGAAAAAAGTGGTCGCCGTCGCCCTTCTTCTTGGGGTAACCTAATTGAACGAGGGGACCATTAAAAATTGGAGTATAGCTAATAAATAATAATAAATTTATTGAATAAAAAATTGAGTTGAGAAGTTGAGATAAAAATACATATTAAGTTCTCTAACCTTGTACTGAGGAGAGGTCTTCTAATATTTTTTTTATTTAATTATGCAATAATAAACTTGTTTTTTTATTAAAAATAAATAATTTAAAATCCATTTAAAAAACCTACATATTTTTTTGTCATGGCTTCTTCATTTGTTAAGAAAAAACAATTAGAATAACTATAGACACCAATATCTTTTATTTTAGTTTTTGAAATATGATAAATTAATAACATTTTTTCTTTTTCATTGAAATTTTCCGCTGAGATTTTCAATCTTCTCTTAACTTAGAAACTAAAAAATAAAAAAGTAAAGCTTTGAACTAAAATGATTATTTAGATGAATCTTATATGGTTTCCTTGTCTTTTTTTGTCCTTTTTTTTGAGTTTTGTTTTTCTATTACAAATCTAGCTAATAATTCATTAAATTTGCTATAAAAAAACTCAATTGAAAAAAAAAAAAAGATTTTACCAAGTCAAGTATCATCTAAGCATCATATTTATTTCTTGATATTACAAGGACCTAGTACTAAGTCATCCAAAACAAATCAATCGAAAAAAAAAAGATTTTAGCAAGTGAATTATCATTTGAGCATCATATTTATTTCTTAATATTATAAGAATCTCATACTAAGTCACCCAAAATAAATCACCAAACCCAGCCCTAAATCAATCTATTATAAAAACTTAAATTAAAAAATCATATGACCAAAAAAAATAAAATGAAAAGATTCGAGAAAAAAAAACAAAATTAACTTTAAGTTTTCGTAAAATGAAAAGATTCGAGAAAAAAAAAAAACAAAATTAACTTTAAGTTTTCAAAACAATCACCAACTAAGCATTTTATTAAATTTTTGACATTGCAAAGACTCCGTATCGAGCCAACCATAAAAAATCACTAAGCTCAACCCTAAATTAATTTAATATAAAATAATTAAATACAAAAAACTTAGGGTGATTTCACTATTCACAAGGACAATATTTTCTCTCCACGTTTTTTTCTTTTTTCTTAACTATATGGCGTTTGAGATTGTTGAGCGGTGGGGAAAAAAAAAAAAACAGGACAAAGTTTCGGTCTGCTCTACTATATTCCACCGCGATAACGAACGCCATAACAAACGGAGCAAACTGAGTTCCCATAGAATTAGTTAAATAAATAATCTCGAGTCTAATAATTGAAAAAAAAAAAAGGAACTTGTGTTTTTCACAATCATTATACCTTTAAGATTTTCCCAGGTTAAATCCAAATCAAAGGGAGGATGCCATGTGTCTACGGCCTTTGCTTTGTGTAGAATGAAAGCAACAAGCTATGATAGTAGCTTTTTAATGTTGATAATTCTCCTTGAACAGCAAAGCAACATCGCACATTCAATTTTAAGACAGCACATGATCACTCATCAGGGACATTTTTTCCAAAAATAATAATAATAATTCAAAGTATGGCTTCCTTTTTAAGCATCTCAAGACTTCAATGTTGTGAAAGAAAACAAATCGCTCCTAGTTTTGCACATAAATTTATTGTTTTGTTGATGGGCATTATGAAAATTTGAATATAATAATAATAGAAACAATTAATATTCATTTTTTTAAAAAATAATACTATAAACACTATATTCTCTCTATACTACTTTTTCTAATGTTGCTTTGTATAAAAGTATAACATGTTTGAATTCTAAGTTTATATATGTAGATTTTTTTTTTAATTGGATATGGCTATTGTTTTGACCATAGTTTTCAGGTTTGGTATGATAGTTGATAGGATTCAAAGCCTGTATTTAAGATTTTGATCGGGTTATTGGATTATTCAGATTAATTTTTTAATTAAAACAATATTATTTTAGTAAAAAAATTAACTAATTATAACTGAGTTTTTAACTTGATCTTTCCAAATAATTGGATCACATCGATTCTTTTTTTATTTTTTCTTTAACCTAACCTTTTATTTTTTCTTTAACCTAACCTGATTCCAGCTTAAGTCTGGATGGAATTGAATTTAACTTAATTAGTATTTGGTATATTTTACCATATTATCTGCCATATAATTATCCATTGTTATATTTTTTTTATAATAAGAATAAGTATACTTAGGTTTTTTAAGTAAAATCTAATTTTTAAATAATTTTGTTTAATATATATACTTAATCTTTTCTTCATAGCGCAATCCCTGAAAAAAATGACAACTAATTCAACTATACATTCAATACATTATTTCTTAAGAATAAAAAATATTAGTAATAATTCTATACTTCGTGGTTTAACCTAAAATCAATAAAAGTATTTGTTTCGTTGATTTTATTTTTCATGTTGTTAATTAAAGTATTTACGTGTATGCAAGCAGAGAAGTTGCTGGAGAGAATGCAACTGTGCCTCCAAATGAAGCGGCTGTGCAAGCAAACTAGCCGAGGCATTACCAGGCCTTTGTGTTTTTTACGGGTAAAAAACAATCTACTTCACCTGGCGATCAACCTAGCTAGCAATAGAAAAGTGGTCTTTCTCCAATTGAGCTGATAACATAATGGAATTGAACTACTACAGATTAGCAAGAATTTTACACGCTAAACAGCTGAATCAAGTGGAACACCTGGGGCAATTCTATCATAAGACCAGCTTCAGGTCCACTGGTTATGGACTCCCGGTAACATCACAAAAGCCTCACCTGAGGTTCCACAAGGTAAAAACAAGATGGAAATGGCAGTGGAGAAGAGCATTACCAGGAAGATGAAACCAAGCTCTCCATGCTATTACAATGGGACATGTCTATGCGCTCTAGTTCAGCTGCATACCTTATTGATGATGAAACATCGCATAAACTCATCACATCATTACAATTATAAATAGCCAGTTCTTCAATGTTATTCTGGAGTTGTGATAATCATTGTCTTTCCATTGTCCTACAAAGAATTTGTATGTGCTTGGTTCTTGGGTCCTGTCACGAGATTTGAGAAACCCCACAAAGTCAGAGTGACCTTCAAAATGACATTCCAAAGTTTCCAACTTCCCCAAGCATTCTACTTCTTTTCCTTTAACTGTTATTGGAGCAAACATTCCATCCCAGTACTCCTCATTTATGAAGTCTCACAAGGAAACTTCTTTTGACCACATCCACGCATCGAGGCAAGTTTTCAAGTGCAGTTGATCAACTGAGATCTGGACTCTTGAGTGCCCTATGCTTTTCTAGCTATGGTAGATGCTGCAACTTTTCACAATCAATGAGCAATAATGCAGGTAATATTTTAATATTGGTATAAGACATATCAAAAATCTTGAGCCTGTGCAATAAATTGGTTTTAAAAAAGAATCCGCAATAAATTGCAACTTTCCACTATAACGTAGCGATGGAGTTAAAAGATAAATACACTATGGTGAATGGCTAGAATGAATGTCTTCGATTTGGTTTTTCATTAACGAAACTCTGACAAGATTCTCAGTCCACTCTCCTGTATCCGACAATTCTCTTGGTTCTGCTCAAGCTTTAACAATGATTGAAGAGCTCTCCTGCAGTATTTGGAGGGCCATGTCCCTAATCATGTCATGCATCCTTACATTTAGAAGGTAGGTTATTAAGCATCGCATGTCCCTTGTCAAATCCTGCCTGCCTCGATCAAATAAATAATATATCAAGCCATTCCTTTCAACCTCAAAATCTTCAGGAAATAATGAGCAGTTTAAGAAACATTGTTGCAGTGCTGAATCCTTTAGGTGTGTATAGCTAAATCTCAATATTAGAAATACCTCAGGTTCCATGTCATCATCTTGCCTATCGTTCGATTCTTTCAATTCCGCCAACACATTCCTCCACTCGCGTACGTCAACCACTCCCCTAATGGCTCCAGCCATTGTTTTTTAATTCCTAAAGGCAAACCAGCACATTTCCTTGTGATAGATTTTACAATTTGTTCCACTCATGGAGGAATTGTTGTGTCACATCCAGGATTCTCCGTGAACAAACTCCAAGCCTCTTCGCATGAAAGAGGCTCCAGTTCGATCATCCTTCGACAGAGCATCCTGTGACAAACTCCAAGCAATCGAGTAGCAAGAATGACCTTGCATCCCCTTACCTGTATAGGAATTCCAGCATCATCAAAATCAAAATAGTGCCACAAATCATCTAAGATAAGAACCCATTGTTTCATTTCATTTCATTTTGTTGACAGCTTCACATCTCTGTTCATTTCATTATCTTTACTTGAAAGATCTAAATGAAATTCTTTGGCAACGAGATTCTGCAATTTAGAAATGCTGAAATCCTGCGATACAGTGATAGGGAAAGGTTTCGGTGGTTTTAGAAGAAGATTGTAGATATGTGTGAGCAATGTTGTTTTTCCCACACCCCAAATCCCGTAAACAGCAAGACTTGAAGAGGCCTCATCACTCATTATCCAAGACCAGATAGCTTTCTTATGTTTTTTGAACTCTTCAGCCACTAGCTTTTTAGTTGGAAATGCACCTCCGCTGCTCCCATCACCATAACACATGCAGAAGCTCTTCAAGAGAGCTATCTCTCGCAACAGGATGCCCAGGCTCTCCAGCCAAGTTCTCTACATCATTCATTATGACCTTATTGTTCAATGATGTAGTACAGAGTTTGATCATCATATCTTCCAAGGCCAAGACACGTTAGATTTGCTGGTTGGGATGAATCTCTTCTATGTTCATCTTGAATAACTGGTAGCATCTCACGAGAACTGCCTCTCAGAACAGGCTGCTCAGGTTCTGTAGTGGTGTTCACCCCATCATTCATGATTATAACAGCATTGTTCACTAATGAAGAATAGGGTTGACGCACTGAATTTCCTCTAGGCTCATCTTCGTTATTTGCAAGCCTCTCAGGAGAAACTCCTCCTGTGGTCTTGTTGATATCCATACCATAATCCTCCACCGACAAAGATAAGTTGTCACGAGTATTCCTTCCACACTCTTGAACCACCTGCTCCCTTCCCATTCCAGTATCAGTTGCACTGTGAAGCTGAAAACTTCCCATGTGTGTGTGCATGAATTCTAGTGTTCCAGGCTAGTGGAAGTTTGATTCTGGTGCCATTCCTACACCTGGAAAAACATTTTTAACTGGGACATGTTCTTGAAAAGTAGTTTTTAAGAAATTATTTTTCAAATTTTTTTATATTTATTTGTCATTAAAAAAAATAATCAATTAAAAACATTTTTCGGTTAAAGGAAAACACTTTCTAGTCAAAGAAAAATTTTACTTGGTTTTCAGAAAAGTGTTTTCTCTTTTGGCTGTATTTATTTTCTGAAAAGTGATTTTCAAAAAATTACTTTCCAAACTTTCATATGTTTGTTTGCTGGTAGGAAAGTTGGTAAATAAAAAGCACTTTTCAGTCATTTTAGAAGAAGATTGTAGATATGTGTGAGCAATGTTGTTTTTCCCACACCCCAAATCCCGTAAACAGCAAGACTTGAAGAGGCCTCATCACTCATTATCCAAGACCAGATAGCTTTCTTATGTTTTTTGAACTCTTCAGCCACTAGCTTTTTAGTTGGAAATGCACCTCCGCTGCTCCCATCACCATAACACATGCAGAAGCTCTTCAAGAGAGCTATCTCTCGCAACAGGATGCCCAGGCTCTCCAGCCAAGTTCTCTACATCATTCATTATGACCTTATTGTTCAATGATGTAGTACAGAGTTTGATCATCATATCTTCCAAGGCCAAGACACGTTAGATTTGCTGGTTGGGATGAATCTCTTCTATGTTCATCTTGAATAACTGGTAGCATCTCACGAGAACTGCCTCTCAGAACAGGCTGCTCAGGTTCTGTAGTGGTGTTCACCCCATCATTCATGATTATAACAGCATTGTTCACTAATGAAGAATAGGGTTGACGCACTGAATTTCCTCTAGGCTCATCTTCGTTATCTGCAAGCCTCTCAGGAGAAACTCCTCCTGTGGTCTTGTTGATATCCATACCATAATCCTCCACCGACAAAGATAAGTTGTCACGAGTATTCCTTCCACACTCTTGAACCACCTGCTCCCTTCCCATTCCAGTATCAGTTGCACTGTGAAGCTGAAAACTTCCCATGTGTGTGTGCATGAATTCTAGTGTTCCAGGCTAGTGGAAGTTTGATTCTGGTGCCATTCCTACACCTGGAAAAACATTTTTAACTGGGACATGTTCTTGAAAAGTAGTTTTTAAGAAATTATTTTTCAAATTTTTTTATATTTATTTGTCATTAAAAAAAATAATCAATTAAAAACATTTTTCGGTTAAAGGAAAACACTTTCTAGTCAAAGAAAAATTTTACTTGGTTTTCATAAAAGTGTTTTCTCTTTTGGCTGTGTTTATTTTCTGAAAAGTGATTTTCGAGAAATTACTTTCCAAACTTTCATATGTTTGTCGTAACTTATTTTTCATTACACTACCAAACATAAGAAAATACTTTTCTAAAATTCACTTTTAAAAAAAAACTACTTTCCAACAAACAAACATAACCCATTGTTTTGATCTTGTGTGAACCCTCGGTTTAATTTCTTTTTCTTTTTCTTTTTGTAAAGTAACCTAGAAATGATATGGATTAATTGAAAATATAAATGGAATATTGCTAAGTAATTAAAAATAAAATTTTAAAGAGTTAGATGTTTATGTTAGATAATTTAAAAGTGGATCGAGATTGGACATATAAAAAATACTGAATTGGGCATAAGAGCATTGTGGTAAATATAAAAAAATTCGACTTCTAAATACTTGCATTTTTCTTCTCCTTGTGGCAGGCACCAAGTGCAGAAAAGGGAGAAGGGTTTTTGATTTTTTTTCTTGAAATCCTAAAGAAAAATACCAAACATGAGTTCAATTAAAATGGTTAAGAGAGTTTTTAGGGTTTAAGAGGAGGGATTCAAATTTTAAATTCTTAAAATTTCATGATAGTATTTTTAAGTTGCATGTATTTGAATGTGAATTTTTATTTTTTTGATTTATAATTTTTCTTCTTAGTTTTGTTTATAGGTTTCACCCTTCATTCTAGATTTATTATTATTTTTCTTTGATTTTGATAATAAGTTTTTATATTTCTTAATTTTTTCCTTTTCTTTTTGTGAATTTTCAAGTTTTCAATTTCATTATTTGATAAAATATTTTTAACTTGTGATTTTTAAAATTTAGTCCTCATTGTTTTGGTGACTGATTATTTTAATTCTTTTGTGATTTTTTTTTAATTTAAACCCTTCAATCTTAAAATTATTCACCTTATTGTTTTTTTTTTTCAAATTTTATTGTCATTCTTTTAATTGCTACTCTTTCTTTTTTATCCTTTTCTATAATTTGTTTTTAATTTCATGATTTGAAACTTGATTTATTAAAAATTAGGCTTTGTGTGTTTTTTTTCATGCTTGACACTTCTAATCAAATGGTCTAAATCACGAATTTATAAGTTAATATATGGTGACACCATCTCTAAATCATGAATTTATAAGTTAATACATGCTGACACCATTTTCGGATTTAATTTCTCTTTTGATCTCATTACTCGATATTGGATTTTTTTACAAAAAAACTTTATGGTTTTCTTTGTTTTCTTTTCTATTAAATTATTCTGATCTCGTGACTTGACCCGTGGGTTTGATAGGTTAACTTGATTAGACTCACACTTTTTTTTTGGCTTTTAATTACTCTTTTTTCTATTAGATCCTTATGTGTGGTTATATTTTTTTTAATTTAACCCTTTAATATTTAGTTTGTTGAGAACTGAGTTTCATGATTTTTTTATATTTGATATCTTTGTTCAAATAGCTTGTATCATGAGTTTTATAAGTTAATGATGGTTTTTTTAAAAAAATTGTATCATGAGTTTTGTAAGTTAATGATGGTTTTTTTAAAAAAATTTATTTCAAGATTTATTTCATTTTTTTTATTAGGTTATCCAATCTCATAACCTGACTCGTGTATTTGGCGTGTTGACGTGAGTGGGCTGAAATCTTTTTTTAGCTTATAATTGTTATTTTTTAAATTCTTTTGTATGATGTATTTTTTTTTTAATTTCA